GACCGCTGTCTGCGTGCGGCTGGGCCTTAGGACCTAGCCAAATTCTGATTTATTGCGAAGAGTAAGAGGAGGTAGCCACAATATGCAAAAGTAATTTAGAGAGAGAGCTAAATCCACGCGTTCGACAAGCCATCTTCGCTTATACGAAGTGAGTGTCAAGGCCATAGTAAAGCTGGGCCTTTCTGTTTGCCTTGACGAAATTTGTGACTTTAACCCTAACCCTGCTTTCTCCTTTTGCCAGGCAACAAGATCTAAGACTACGCCTTAGATCAAACCAGATAGACGTTGAGGTTTTGGTCTCGATCTGTTTACGTGATACGCTTTTGAAACATTATCGACACAGCTAAAACCAAAGCACGCTAAGAATGTTTCGCTGGCACAATTCGATGAAGGGCCTCCTTCTGTTTCTCATCCGCTGAGGTGTAAGCTGACGGACTCGAGAGCTGTACGAATGGCTATGATATCCTGCTGCAGAACCCAGAACGCCACTCTCAAGCCTAGATGCCATCGACCAAGACGAGACATGACACCTCACCCGATTGCTTGCTCTCGAACTATCATTTTGTGCCTGAATAGAGCGACACTCTGCAATCACTGGCGCAATTCGCGGATAGGCGATAACACTTTTCTTGACGGGTGCCAAGCGCGCGGTTCATTGGTTCGGCTTGGATTCGGCGATACGGCGCTACGCTCATGATATTGGTCACCGGACGAGAATATGGCATCTTACTGGCTCTCTCGAAATAGAGTTGGCCACAGTTTCAACATTCAAGGCTGATACCCTGGCTGCTCTCTTCAGACAGCAATCGTGTCAGCTCGATACGTTTCGCCCTGGTTTTCTGTTGTCTCATGCACAAAATGAGTTATTCTCCAGGTAGGACGAAGAGATGAAACAAGGTCTTTCGTTTATGGGAGCCAGTCACTTAACTGCCAACGTGCGGAGCCGACACCGAACCCTTTCGTTTCGCATTGTTGAAAACATCAAGCTGCCTACGTTCTCATCTATTTCAATCTTTCGGCTCCAGATGACTCACAAGTGATGTCGACAGGCAGACTTGCTGCAAATGTATAAATATTGCTTGACTCCCACTTTACTTTCTATGACTCCTATCGTCATACAGCTATTACAGCCATCGAAGACACCAATTCTCAGTCCGGACACTTTGCTTCCTACTTTCATACAACTCCTATCTTCATGCAATCACCGCAGCCATCACACACACCAAGTCTTAATCCAACTTCCCGTCAGCAATTATCACCATGAAAACCTCCTACCTCCTTGTCTCTCTTCTCGCATCATTCAAAGCTACCGCGAAGCCTATAGGTGGTAGTGATTTCGATATCGCTCCCCATTCCCGTGTAGAGCAACGAGCTGCCGTGCCAGCACCTCCACCCCCACCTCCAGCTCCAAATCCGGGCCCAGCTCCAGCTCCGGGTCCAGCTAAAGCGGCTGATCCACCCCCAGCACCGTATTACTCGCAAATCCCGCTCTCTCGATGCCGCAACTGATAGAGTGATTTAGGACTCCCCTCCCACCTACCCTAGACGGTGTTGTCCTGGACGGCGGCGTCGTAAACTACAATCCGAACAACCATAATATTAATAATTGCTGGACGGTACCGGTCCAACGGCCTCCCCCCAGTGCTCCCTACGCCCCTGGTACCTGCTCGGTATGCGGCTTGCAACGCAACGGCACCGACGGTAGCGCAGACTATCAGCTCTGGGCTCGAGACAATCTCAACAATGCCATGGGCAACATGTCCCCAACTACAGTCTGGCCACTCGATGGGATGCGCTCGCCAGCAGATGATAGTAAAAACCAGTCTGTCATTCAGATGGGTGGATCCCCTCTTCAGCTATGGGCCTTGGAAGCAGAAGATCCCAACTATTCTATGGTATACATGAGATGGGTCACCCCGCCGCACCACCTAAGCGCCCCCTTGAATGACACAACCATACCACAAGTGTCCTTTGATCCAAACCCAAAGATGATTAATACCGAAACATGCAGCTCAGCTGGAACCGCATTAAACGGTGCGGTGGTCTACTTCATATGCTACTTTGCATGCTAGTTTGTTGGGTGGCGTCCTCATTGCTGAACGAGAAGTTCCAAGTTTGCCATCTCATTGGTTTCTTTGTGGCGTACATGTATATTAGAGAAAATTATCCCATGCGCCAGAACCTGGTTTGTCGGATGGGGTCAAAGGATGGATCAAACTTCTCCAGCTCACAACAATGATTCAGTCGCTTCCCATCATTTCTCTTCCTGAAGTCCAGTCTCATTTTACACTCTCCTCATGGCGAAATCAATCTCTCAGGTGTTAGTGTTTATTTCACTGCTCAGTCTTCTTCATAGAAGGGATGTCCAATGTTGTTGACCTGCGAAAGAGAAACCGCCTGCTCGCTGAAAGGAAGGCCTAGAATTGTCGGGTCCTTTACGTTTGGAATTAGGTGCCGGTGAGTTTGGAAGTAGATGACCGATTGTAAGCACTCTGTGTGACCAATGTTCCATTATCCCTGTGCTCCGAGTGGCCTTAAGTCACCAATCGGCTATGCCCCCTCAAGACCGATTGTTCTCCTCTCTCAATCCCAAGTCCGTAAAAGTTTTTCTTTTCATGCTCAGCTGGATAATAGAGCCTCCCATCCACCCCAACGTCGTCCCAGCAGTAACAGCCCCTAACATGCGCAGGCTCCAGGCCATAGTCCCCCAGCCTGCCATTGACTTTACATACCCGGCCCACATCGACCCCACCACCAGGCCCGCAGCCCATGCCACATGGAAGAGCCTATGAGCTTACACATACGCACCCTTCTTCCCATACATGCCAGGTTTAGCTTTCTGCTTCGCCTCGACCTCATACGCGATCTCCGCCATCAAGGGCGTGAAAGACAGAGTTAAAGTGACGCCAATGAGCGCCAGCAGAAAGCAGAGGAGCGAAACATGCTCTATGCTGTGATAAGTGACGAGGCGGGGGAGAACAAATAAAGGGAGAATTATCGTCGTCTTCCCGCAAATGGCATTTGATGAGAAGCACGGACCGAAGTGAAATGACAGGCCCGCTGATAGACGTCTCGCCTCTCCTGGTGTCCATAAGACGATCAAGCTCACATTCAAACTTATCGATCCAGGCTACAGAGTCCTTTGGTCTTGCGATAGGCATTATGAGTACGACGCGTTACAAAAGGCAAGCCCACAGAAAGGGGAACGCCGTTAGCGCGGTCGCTGTAGTTACTCCATGAAGCAAAGGCCAAGGTAGTGCCAAGTCTAGCTTACTTTGAGAGACCTTGTTGCAGCAGTAAATATGTTGCAGAGAAGGATCGTATAACGACGTCCGAAGTCTGCCCGTTTGGCTAAATTAACCTGAAGACCTGAAAGTTGAGTCCAAGATACTCAGAGTACATAAGTGTCGAGGTGATCCAGACTCCCTTCGTCAGGTCTCCTATAGCTTTGTTCGCGTTCCAATAGGTAGCACTACAAATTGGAAGCTTTGTGGCAGGCCCTGATGACTATGCGGTCAAGCCCCGCGCAAGGAGATTGTTGAAGACCGGGCCTTTGACCTCTCGTTGCTGCAGAAAAAACCTTGAGGAGCTGATGCTTTAAGCTACAGTGTGAAGCTCGCCTCTTGCGATGATTCTATTCTTATTGGATAATGTGTGCATTCAATGGTCTCATATCATGTAGAATAGTTATTCATTGTCATGTTCTATGAAGAAGTATGTAGGAAGGATGGAGGTGACTACCTATCTATGATGTGAAGCCACGCTAAGGCTATTTGCCACCATAAGGCCATTTGCCACCATGAGGAGTAGTCACAACACCTATTTGGAACTTAGTAGTGTGTAGACATGCTGGCCTCCTATTGGCTGATTCCAACACTCCCACACAGTCCAAATGGTGGGCTGGAAACACTATTAGTTCCATCTTGTCCCCACACCCTGCTGACTTGACCCTTTGCAGAGCCTGTAGCACAATAGGTTGTCCAAAATCATGATATCATTAACGGGTAAGAGTCGAAGAATGGCGCAAAGCTTTACAACCTTTGCGAAGTGCACGACCTCGGAGCTTCTCTGGTTATCAGCACTCGAGCCTCGTATCATCATCCTCCCTGCTTGCTCTCTCTCTCGGTGGTCTGGTTCACTTCAGCTCCGACGCTTCACTGCCTTCAGAAATTTAAGGTCCTTCTTGGCGCTCGTTATCCGAGCGTCACATCCTTGCTTCTTACTCATTGCCATTGATAACAGGAGACACTCACTGTCAGGTGTCAGACACTCCAGCCACCTGTGTGCTCGGTACTCCGCTTTTTATTTAACACTTTTGACTTTACTCGCCAGAACCTAAACACTTTGTTTGACAAATAGAATAACACTATGACCATGTTTTCCTTTGCTACTAACTGTGCGACTCTCGGAGTTTATCGGTTGTATCTGCGTGGCCTCTGGCGAACGCATAGCCTTAACACAATCACGCAGCTTTGATGTATGCTCGTCCAAATTCGGGATGGTACGAAGTAGATGTGAAGCTATTTCCGCTGCTCTACTTACTTTCTTTTGTTCCTTCTCTCCGTCTACGGAAAAAACCTGGCTGTCGAGTGAGACTTCCAAAAACAAATCGATTATCATGGGGGAAGTTCTTTTCCTTGTCGGGTAGGACCCCAAAAGCTGAGCTCCAGGTCAGATGCTAATCGTAAAATAGCGGGACAAGTGTTCTCACCGTTGGCAGAGAAGCGGAGCGCTTACACCAGAGTCGAGTGGATGTGCTAGAGTGTTCCGAAGACCAATTCCCTGAGTTGGCTGGTAGACGGCTGTTCATGGTCAAGTATAGTGATAACGATATTACCATTCAAGACGTCGAAATCATTCGTCAAGCGTTGGGGCGTAGTCTCAAGTACAGAACCACACCGTCCTTACCCTCGTACTTGCACTACTATCAACTTTGGCTTCAATAGATACTGATGACGCATGCATTAGCTCGCAAGCCTGGTCTGTTGTGACAGACACCGATGGAAACAACACCTTTTATCCCAGACGATTTGGGCCGGATGAACTTCGTGAGTGTCTTCTATCTTTCTTTTTCCACTCTTGTGGTCCTGTTGCTATCGCTAACCAGAATCGTTATATAGCTCCAAGTCGCGGTGAGGGACATGAGGACGACCGTCCTCCACGAGACAGGCAGTCTTCGAGAGGTTCGTACGCAGACGAAGATGACGGCCGAGACTGGGAATGGGATTTCCCTGAGCCTCAACCACACCGCAGCCGCCGACGAAACACATACGCGAACGACGATGATCGTGGTGACGAGTATGAGGACGATCCGGCGCCTCCCCCACCCCGCGGTCGCCGAAGACACTCGTGTGCGAACGAGTTTGATCTCGATGACGGTTATGAGGACGATCTAGAGCCTTCTTCACATGGCAGCCGCAGAAGACATTCGTATATGAGCGGTTATGATCGCGGTAACAGGTATTGGGGCTCTCCGGAGCGTCCTCGATACGGTGACCCCTCGAGAGGCACATACGCAAGAGACTATGATCATGGATCTTCCTATGCAAGCAGCAGTAACGGAAGGGTCAGGGACTGGGGTGATTTTGAGCCGGCCAGAACGTGTTCTTACGCATTCAACCGGCAAGGTAGCGACAGCTACAGGGACGCTCCTGTACCCCCGTGGGCTACCAATCATCCCTCGTGGGCCAACCACCCCTCGCAACGCAGGCGATTGGGCGCTAGACCAGGCTCGAGCACGATTTGTGGCCTGGTTCGCTCCTTCCTCAATTACACAATGACCTGATAGCGGCTGCGATCTGCCATTTACTCATGCACAACACAAATCGTCTGAACATGTACTGCCCGCAGGTCATCGACATAATACTGGCTGTATTTACTCGTAAATCCTTATTTTTCACTTGTTGCTGTCGTTTCCCTCGGGTTTTAACCTTAAAAAAGGTCTCTTAGTGGATGCAACCAAACCACAAGTTTGTTTGTATTACTACTAGTGCCTGCAGGAACTTGCAATTCTATTGACTTGTGCACCCGAACCTCGGTCTTCTCGCCGCTCGATCCTGCTGGCATCCGCTCCGTTTCCTACTGTTTCTCCTCACCTTGGCTGTATAAGATTATAGCACTTCCGTAGAGACACTTCACTCTGAAAACATGGGCAACTATTACCTCGTTAAAAGCAGATCATAACTCAATACCACGAAGATTCCATTTTATCGTTGGGTTGGCTTTTGAGATACTTGCCGTCTCGGCATCAACCTCATAGCTTCCACCAGCAGGCCCACACCATGCGCTCATACCCTCTTCGTCATGCAGTCCTCTCAATTAAGAGACAATGAAGTTTTCTCTGCTCAGTCTATCGTTGTATTTGGTGAATGAAGCTTGGAATGAGAGGCTCGTCCCCGTACTCAACGCGTCCGCGGGACCTCGGCCAGCACTTCCTCTTTCGTCCTCCCTTACCACCAACGTGGTACAACTGTGATAGCACAATCTAAATATCGATTCGAACCCCTCAAGCTGCCTGCAGGCATGGACTTTCGTACCACCTTTAGAAACCGAACTTGGGTTTGAACCTTGTAACATAATGCCCCAAGTTCCGCTGGGACATCTACGGCAGGCTGATGTTGGATCTCTAGAGCGGTATTTAAGCTGTGCTGGATCCGAGGAGGATCCATATCGGATTCGGGGTGGTGATCTTAATCAAAAACGATGACACATGCGCGGTCGAGCCTGTTGTGCGGCTGGGAGCGGTTGCAGCCTATGCACCGGGCGACGCGGGTACAGCTGTTCTCACGGTTATTTGCGATTGTGCAGCCGGTATACCGTCTATAGGTGAAGATGACACATGGTTCGGGTAAGCGGAAGCAATCTGCGACTTTATTGGTTTGGCACGTCGGGCGTTCAAGCCGCTGAAAATGGTATTTTAGGCCCGGATGATAATTTTGCGGTGACAGTATTCGAAATGACACCCATCAAAGATGTTCCAGAAGTGTCAAAGGTTGTTTTGAAATTTTCCAGTCCTATCAAGGCATGGTAGACCCCATGTATAACGGGACAAAGGCTCTCACGTATGCACCAAAAGGTGTTGTAGTCATGACTACGAAATCCGCTCAAATGCTTTGCATTTCCGTAATTAGCATTGGGGAGTTAACCCTGGTACTTGAGCTGAATTCTCTAGAGTTTTATGGATAGAGGGTTGCACTCCTCTTCGATCCCCGAATCCGAGATCCCCTGGGGCCCCCTTCGGCTTGGACATTTCGGCGTCCCAGTCACCATCGAAGCTATAGTATTCCTGCTCGGTGCTTTCTTCTCCATGTGGCCAACTGCCAAGAACCCGAACATTCAGGATATGAAATATTGTGTTTTGGTATACGGCGGGGTCATAATTTTCAGTATGCTATTTTGGCTTGTGTATGGGAGACATCATTACACGGGTCCGGTGTTGGAGATCTCTAACAGCGATCAGCAGCAGACTCTGTAGCTTTTGCATGTATACGCCTGAAGAAGGAGATGTAGTGGTATACGTGCGATGAGCTACTGCCAGCGTGGGCTCCCTACTCTCGGTATATACATGGCTGGGAAGCGTTAAAAGTAAACGGGATTACCAACCATCGTCACTGTCCAGACTGGTCCCGGACTGGAAAAGCCTACCAGCTTCAAGACGACAGACCCTCGTTATATCCATTTGCCCGGCTGGTTTTAATGTGAAGTATTGCTCTCTGGAAGCCCACTTTCCGTAGCGGAATGTAGGAATGAAGCTCACACTGAAATCCGCTGATGGGATGTTCACTTGCATTTCAAAGGTTCCTGACTTGCGAAGACAACACCCTGCTCTTCAAAGCACAATCTCAACATTCCATGCACTATTCCTAGCACATTACGAAGCTGCAGCCAAGCCACTAAGGCGTTTTAGCGTGGTTTAAACACCTGCAGGCCTTATATATCTTCACCTTGCTGTGACTACAATCTTGCTCAGCCTTCTAATCACCAGGACTATGGCCTCCACCATAGTTGCTTCCACGCTCCGCGCTTTGACATACTCGCGGGGTGACATCTGCGACCGCACTATCAACACTGAATACCTTCAGAATGACTGCCCTCTCGATCAGACATCAGCAAATGCACACTTGGCTTGCCGTATACAGCCCGCAACTGCCTCTCTCGGGCGTCTCGATATTCTGCCCGTAGAGACCATACAAATCATCTTCTCAAATACCGATCTCAGCACCTTGACACTTCTACGTTCTGTCAGCAGACGCGCGAGCTGCCTGGTCGACTCCGTACCTGCCTACAAAAAGGTCGTCACTCACTCTCCCAATGCCCTACGTGCTCTGATCAGTACCCACACAGCACAATACTTTACGGCCAACGATGTGTTTGACGCCCTCCTCGCCCATGAGTGCTTCCTCTGTGGCCGCTTCGGTGCCTTCTTGTATCTTTTAGAATGCCGCCGCTGCTGCTGGGATTGTCTCATCAGTGTTGAGGATCTCCTACCTATATGCAAAGCGTCGGCACAAACCTTGTACCGCTTCGACGCACAGACAATGGATGAAATGCCCACGGTGTTGACCATCCCAGGCTCATACGGTCTGAGACATAAGCAATCCACCCACAGACAACCAAAGGGCGAAAAGCGAGTCGCTATGGTCGCCTATGGAGCGGCCAGAAAAGCTGGCCTGAATGTCCAAATGGGAAAGAAGCTGACGGACCACTACGAAAAAGCGAAGCTAGAAACGAGAGTCGCACTCCGTGGCCCCGTGGCTCAGGATCCCATGCGAGACATGGACTGTATGAACTACGACCACGCTGGATACAAGGCTGGCTTCGGGCTCGAGCCTCAACGCTTCATGGCAGCGGTTCGCTTTCCCACCCTGATCACCGGGACCGATAAGATTGAGTGGGGATTTTCTTGCCTCGGGTGCTTGGAACGAGCTGAATACGGAGACGAAGAAAGATTCTGGAACGAACAGTACACGACTGAGGGTATGGTGAGACACTTGGACAAATGTCAAAGGGCGGGACAGTCGTGGATCAATGATCGTGTAACGGAGGTGCATGGGCGCTGATAGACGCTTCTTTGATCACTGGAAGAACAACTAGGTGGTAGGGATATCGTGGATGCATTAGTCTTTCAAATCGAGCAAGGTTGTACATATACATACGTTATTGTACAATAACCTTGGCACCTCATTGCCCTGCACTCCATCTGAGAATGAAGAGTGGAAATCGATCTGATCGAACGACTTCATTGCATGCAAACACGGGCTGCAATTCATGACGTCCTCGAGACTCAATGCTTTGACCCACAAAAACCTCCTTGCAATTTCACCCTTTGATCATCTGTGGCACCTCAATGCCCTACCCGCAAGCTCCGTCTATCATTCGCCGGAAAGTGTCCAGTCGAGTAGCTTTCATACCTCAACCGTTGTCTATTTTCCATAGCAATTCCATACCGGAGAGTTTCTACGTGCCGTGCTCGCGTTGCGATACTGTTTGCACCCAAGTCTCTGTCAAAATTCAGGCATGCGATATGTAGGTTGCATCAATTATTCTATCTCAGGACTCCCCTGGGTCAGTATTTGTACCCCATGCAAATTAGGTGGTTGTTCCAACAGGTGGCTGGGAGGAGGCTGGGAACCTTATTTCGACAGTCTCTCAAGACATAGTCGTCAAACGCATAGATTCTTGCCCCAATCTCGTTCCGGGATTGACAGATGGTTGACAGGTCGCCCAGATATCTTTTGAGTGTCCCATAGCACGTGACTGGGTTGGATCGAGATCTAGAACCGTCATTGTGGGTCACGAAGGTCAAATCACCCTCCAGGACGCTGAGGATTTTTGCCAATCTTGCACAATTTCAAAAAGGGACTTAGGGCTTATTAAAGCATGCATGCAAGCTAGACTCACGAACAACCGCCCCTATCATTTCGCTTGTTACCGCGTAATGATTACGCCCAGCCGTATTGTCCTCATATAGCCGCATGGGACGAAATCGAGTCTAATTCTTAGGCCGTGGGCGGTCATGCGCCTGATTGGGCGCAATGCAGAGATAGCGCATGGCTGCTGGCGCACATTTTTTTTCTTTGTCGGGATGCAGTGTCCCTCGAGCTACAGTCAGCATTGCGGACTGGACGAATACAGATTGGAGTTCTGACACGCCTGTAGAGTACCAGCCAGCACGGCAGCGGATCGATCCAAACCGGTCGCGCCCGGAGCGAAACACGGCCTTCTTTACGCTAGACAGAAACTGTGCATGTGGGGTTCGTAAGTGATCCCCGAAAACAAGGCATCTTTCTGCTGTGTTGCTAGGTATGCACATACTCTAGCGATGATTACGGATCAATGCGCATAGGTAGGCTCTCTGGGGATCTCGTGGCCTAGAGAAAGCTAGCCTCATAGGCAGACGTCGTATTTAGACGATTGATCATCCTCATAGACCGCCAAGACTCAACTCACGGGTCGGGATGACCTATGAATTTGTTCCGCCAATGATTTCTTCCTCCCTGGTTCACGCCCGCTTGACGCTACTGCACAACAACGACGCTCCACAAGAAGAGCAGCAAGTTGATTTAGTTAGATCTTGCTGGACGCTTCCCTCGCCCACTCCCGCTTCAGCTCACCTGCATAACAGCACCCCATGTTAGTCGTGGCAGGCCCACCAGCGAGCCTCATACCTCCGCTTTTTCAACGCGCGAAAAGGTTTTGCTGCTATTAGATGAGCCTGCGAGCTTGAAAGTCTTAAACCTTGCATATTTACGTCCGTGGAAAGCCGGTCCGTGTTGCTTGGATAATGAGAAAAGGTCATGGGTCCATGTAGGGTCTCCCTCGTTCTATCGAGGACAGAGCGTCTCTCGCGATTTGTCGCCAGTTGCTCTGGATCACACTGCCAAAAATTTGGGCGTATGGTGGTTCTACGGACAGATGGAGAGCCTCGAGCGCCTTTTCCGTTGTCTGAGTGATCTTTGGCAATGGGCGGACTTGTGTTGAGGTTTCTCAACTGAGGCTTTGTCAATTCATTGCGTCTCCACGAATTGTTAAACGTCTACCTTGATGTAGAACAGTTGAATCCAGTATTGCATTGCTATGAAGAGCACACAGGGCTATTTCTCCTCCAGCTCAACGTTGCATGAATGTTGTGGCGCACGCGAATCAAGTTCCTCGCTGCCCGTATTCTAAATCATTTCTTGCCGTGGCAATGTCCTGGCCCGGACATTCATTCGGCGCACTGAAAGTTGTTGGATGTGGTAGAGATACGTCAGATCCATCAAGAATGACAGATCCCTATTGGAGCCGAGCGCGGAGACTGTACGGATCATTCGATGAGTCGGACACACTCGGTCCGACGCCGTATTTAGCAAATGGTGTTTTGAATTTAGCGAGGGCAATCACTTGGGGTGTGTCAATTGCAGCGCCTGAATTGCGTCTAGGTCCCGTTCCAGGTATGGTTCGGTAGATTTTGGGGCCAACGTGTTGAAAAAATTTGGGCAGCGCGGGAAGGCAACCAACAATGATTCCAGTTGAAAGCTCCGCCCAAGTCCAGAGTCCCATAAAGAGTAGATCCCAGCTTGTGTCGAGAGTTTCAACTGTTTGCCATGTGTAGTATGTTCGTAGGATGGAAGTCACACAAGCGCTGTTTTCAGTGAGGTTCAGTAAGACTTCCTGGCTATAACATCATCCGCATCTGTATCATCAAAGAGAATTCAAAGATGCCAAGTGAACGTATACTCACAAGAAACCTGTAGCAAAGACTCCCATTGTCATAATCTTCCTCTCCAAAGACATCTGTAAGTTCCAAAGGACTGGCATTGGAATGATGAGTATTGCGAAGTCCGATAACACGTTGAACACTCCACTACCTTTATAGGAAGCATTGCCGTCGAAGCAATGACCGGTGGTCATTAGGGGATTCCAGATTCTCTCACGGGGAGTACATGCGAAAACCAAGAAGAAGATGTCCACTACGTAGAACGTGAGCAAGCTCCAGATACAGGCATGGACTGCAAGAAACAGCGGTAGATTTCCTTTTCTGGAAGGTGCAAAGATTCTGAGGTACTGGAGAAGGATGGAGAGTTTCACGAAGGTTACTGTAATCGCATAAGTGATTGCAGTGATGTTGACCCACTGGAAGTGCTGTCAGTGTCGATTTGGCGTTGTCTCGTTTCAGATAAAAGATCTTACGTAGAGTACACGGAAAAAGGATTTGAGTCGTATATCCCACATGTGAGTGCCAGCGCCACTCTTTGAACACAGGAAAGACGGAACGGCGAAACCAATGAAGCTGATCTACCAAAGTCAGCGACAGACACTGAAACAACCGTACTTCACTGTAGGAAAAGCTTACCCATGCTATAACTGAAGTATCTGAAGAGTGTCAACCTTCTTAAACCCGCAATGGACCGGGTTTCAACACTTACAGTCTTCATATCCCATGGATCGGAGTAAGAAATGCTTGGTGTAGATGCGTATGATGACGGCACAGGTTGCGAACCATATGGTTAGAGTGGCAGTTACATAGAGGTAGATATCTTTGTTTGGTGGATTATCGAAATTGGGTATTACTCCAGTAGGCGGTATGCCCGCAGGTCCATCCAGAAGACTCTGAAGCGCTGCCTGAAGCTGGTCTGGCGTGGGAGACGGTGCCAGAATCGCCATTGACCTGGATAACCCGAGTTGCAATGTTGGGAGTTCTGATTTTGGAAAGGGTGGTGGACGGGAACAACGAAGGGTGATTCCTGAAGGAATAAGATTTAAGATGCCGTTCGTAGGTCATTATAGTCGCCGAAGGTAGGTGACAACAAGAGAGGATATTTGTCGTCCGTTCTGAAACCCAAAACCTCGGCCTTGCGCGCGAATCAACTACCAATTTTGACCATGCAATGTCTTGCAAGTGACGAACAAAATCCCTCGTGCAGCTTACACATACTGACTGCTCAATATCTCCGTTTTCCTAGATGTTCCGCAGGCCTTCTTGGGTCAGAATTATCGCACGCGCTAGAATCAAAGAAGATATTGTGGGGTCGCTGCGCGTGCATCAAATTTATGCAGAGTCCATACCAATGAAGTTTGGGGTCGGCTGTAAGTTTTACCATGCCGAATGGATGCCGTCGCACCGTTGGCTCTAAGTATTTCATCATATTTCAGCTCACACCGCCTCCAACGGCCTCGCATATCACCGGATTCTAGTTGCTCAAGATGCTGACAAGGCATGCAGGCACTCCTCGCATCAAGTATACGCAGTGCTTAATCAAGTGGCTCCATTCAAAACGTCAGGATTGAAGATTCTGTTTGCCTGGGTGTAACCTTTATTGATCGGGTCAGTTACTCACCAGTATTGTTTCCATCTTGTCTTCTTCGGCCACAAGCATTGACTTGAGGCAGGCGTGTCTCGAAATGCCGTTGGATCGAGCATCAAACATGGCGACACCACATTTTCGAAGAGCACGAACGCTCCTGTGATCAGACGTGGGGTTTTCTGTGTTTGTAATTGCCTGTTCCTTTTCACTTATGTTCAGATGGTTGGACCTGCATTTCCAGGATCCCAAAATACGGATCACTTGACAACATATTCTCCTTACACCTTTTCCTCCATGCCACCAACGACGCCGCCATCTACGAGCAGTATCTCAATTCTCATCCTGAGGGAGTTCAGGAGATTTGACTTCTATAAAAAGCAGTCCGAGCTGTAATGTGTCTCATAACAGCCCAGTTGGTGCCTCGACTTGTGTCGTATGTCAAACTCCTTTCAGAGTAGTACCGATCAAACCTCCTGGATCGACAGACAAAGGTGCCTCCACAATCTTGAAGATGAGACTTGAATCTATGGTAGATTTTCAAGCCCGTTCGACTCGCCGGCAGTGGACTTGGTGCATGGCAGAAGAATTGCGCCTTTTGCAAAACAGTCAGGTTCCCCATCCCTTGGACGATCTTCGTGCGGCTTTCCCTGGGTCCACCCAGCTGATCATCATGGCTACATCTTGGAGCTCCATTGGATTCTCACTCCCCGAGAGTTTCACGCTTGGGACAAATAAAGGGTGCGCAATGCGTCAACAAAGAACTTTGGGAGAGCTTTTGATCGCGACCGATGTCCTTTAGTCTATTTGACTGAAAATCTTTGTTGGGCTTTATCCATCTCTCCGAAAGGGTTTCCGGGTTCAGACTAGCTCAAATCGAAGAACAGAGCGGACAAAGAAGAGACAATGGGTGAGGATCTTTCGTCTCGGGTACCGTCGCTATTTGTTTTCCTCGTCGTTGGTAGACTTATAGATGGACAGAGCGTCATTTTTATGTTCTTGCACTGCTGGCACAAATATTCTTTCTCTCCCTCCCTGCAACGGTGTTCATTTTCCTAGCATCTGTTTAACAATACATCTCTCAAGCGAACCACTCGACTAGAAAGATTCACCATGACTTCTACCGAAATTTTCACGGCCATGACCTGCAAATAACTTAAGACTGAGCTAAGGAAGCGCGACTTGCCAACCGGCGGCCTCAAAAAAGATTTACTGGACAGGCTGCGGGAAGCTGAAAACGCTACCTTGACCGATGTCGTAAACACCACCACCGTTGCTGGAATAGTGGAAGCTTGTGTTGAGGTTGAGACGGTTGACAGACGTCCTAGGCGGGCCTGGGTGTTGCTCTGTCTCATTATCATTTGCGTTGGCGGTCTCTTCTGCTCGCGATACGCGATCTTGGAGAATTCTTCGGATTCCGTTGTCGGGGACCATGATGCTGGTACGAACAATATCCAACAACATAGAACGTCCAAAGCTAATACCTGTCATGTCATAGCACTCACTCCACAGGATCTAACCTGGCTCAACTACCCTGATCACTACAAGGTCCTTAACGTATCAGCTAGTGCTTCATCAAAAGTTATCAGAAGAGCCTATCGCCGGAAGGCAAAGAAGTGGCACCCCGACAAAGCCGGGACGATGAACATTAACCAAGGAGTTCTGTTCAAGGCAACCAGGATCATAGGTCTCAGCCGCGATATCTTACTAGATCCCCGGGACCGAGGGCTGTACGACATGGGACTAAACCCAGTGAAATGTGACTCTTCATGCGAGCTGTGTACGTGCAGTTGTGGATATGGGTCAAGACTCAGTTCTTGGCACCTATCTAATTGGCCTAGCTATTTGTGTGGAATCGATGTGATAGAAGGAGCCAAGACAGGGGTTGTTTTCATTATAGACATGGCTATGTACGGAGTAAGATGGTTCATTAATGCTCTCGCAGATGCTTTACTCGACCCTGAGTACCTGTGAAAAGAGGGTCCAGACGAGAGAGGACTCTACTTTACACAATCTCGATCTCCCAAGATCATTGGACTTGGCACGCACGCGGGTGACAGAAAAGCCTGGACACTAACCAAATGGAGATTACGGCCTTCCCCCACCAAATTTCTATGCGCAAATACCATGTTTCTCCATTGATAGCCTGTCACTTGTCCATCACCGTCTAGAATAGCCTGGATCCTTTCAGGCATACTAATTACACACTCATTTATGACCTAAGAGGGTGAAATTTGGGTGTGAAATTGTATGTGGGACGGCCCTTGATCTCCTAGCTTAATGCAGGTTAGTGTCAAGGCTTTTCTGTCACCCGCTTGGCACGCTAAGGTTAGGACTGAAGCTAGGTCGCAATTGGCTAATCTTAGCTCGACGGCTGTACGAAGTTCCGAGATCCGTGCCCTGCCAAGAAATCAAATAATTCGTCGCAATTTCCTCGAGGATCTCTTTCCCTTCTCTTGCATTGCATTGCAGACGCACCTGAACTTCTCCATTTTATATATGTACTATTATTTCGACAACCAATACAAAGAGTCAGGTCTATAAATCAATCATCATGTCAAGCTCAATCCCCACAACAATGAAAGCATGGCAGTTCTCCCAGACCACTGGTGGCATCGAGAAGAACCTCAAACTCAACAACACCGCCCCTCTGCCGCCCAACGCCAACTCACTGGCAGCAGATCAAGTGCTCGTCCAGGTCTTATCCTCCACTCTCAACCCAGTCGACTACAAGTTCGCCCAATTACCTATCCTCGGCAATCTTATAATCAAAAAACCCGCCTCTCCAGCCCTTGACTTCGCCGGCCGTGTCGTAGCCAGCGGTGCCAATTCAAAGAAGGTCTCAACCGAAGATCTAAAGCCGGGCCAGTTGGTATTCGGAAAACTAGACGCTCCCACACAGTACGGCACTCTGGCGGAGTACACCATTGCGCCAAGATCAGGCTGTGTGCCTCTGCCTCAGGGAGTAAGTCTTGATGATGCAGCCTGCATTGGCACCGCAGCCCTGACGGCATACCAATGCATCGTCCCAAACATCAAGTCTGGGGACCGGGTCTTCATCAACGGCGGTAGCGGCGGAGTAGGGAGTTTTGGCATTCAATTGGCGAAAGTCAAAGGCTGCTATGTCGCCACCAGCTGCTCAAGCGTCAATGTCGAGCTCTGCAAGTCTCTTGGCGCTGATCAAGTCATTGACTACAAAAGCAAGGACATTGTTGCCGAACTGAAGAAGATGCAGAAGTTCGATTTGATAGTCGACAATGTAGGCACGCCGAGCGAGTTGTACTGGCAATGTCACGACTTCACACATACAGGGACCAAGTATGTGCAGGTTGGTGGAGGATTGAGTCTAGGCGAGATCTACAACTTGTTGAGTCGAATGATGTGGCCTGGGTTCCTTGGTGGTGGGAAGAGACCATTCCAGTTCCTGGGAGCGGCAAACAACAGTGATCACTTGAAAGAGATTGCGGGGTGGATGGCGCAGGGCAAGGTGAAGGCCTTGATTGATGAGGTGTACGGCATGGAGGACAAGGGACCTATCAGAGCATTTGAGAGATTGAAGACTGGGCGCGCGAAGGGAAAGATCCTCGTGAAGGTTGCCGAGCCGTAGTTGAGATAGAGCCCATTGTGGCTCGTCATCTCGGAGGGGAGAAAGCCTCTCGAATTGCTTTCACCGACAGAAAATTTTGGAACAGATACAAGTCTGTTGTTCGAGAGCTTTTGCCTCGATAGTGATAATCTTGGCACCGAAGGTCTTGGGTATGACATAAAAATGAGTCCAGAAATCCGATATGTACAAAGATCGAATGCGTCAGTTTTCGTTGACCTCTCGCTGCATACCGTTGATCACATTCTCATTGTGCCAACAATCACCGAGTTCATTCAATGCTTCAGGCTAGGGCTGTTCTTGATACAGCGAACAAAATCGCAAGTCCTCCAAATCCAACAGACATCGTACCAGTATTGTATCTGCGTCCATATGTTGTTGTCTATTATCTACAAAACCCCGCTAAGATCAAGTTCGAATTCCCATCACGTTGACTCCATTGACGATATCCGTTCCAGCTCTACAATATCCTTCCTCACTCCATCACTCTGTGCGCTCATACCAACACCAGCTACGACTGACTCATCCGGCGCTTTTGCTACCTTGTATCTGGCTTTTCAGTGATTGCCGCCGCCTTCGCTCTCCGCTCGACCCTCTTGCTATCCCCCAGAAGCTCAAAATGTGGTATTGTGTGAGGACTATGCGCGGTAGGTTGCTAAAAGTAGCTCCGTCTCCTCTCAAGACTTCCTCTAGTAACCAAGGAACAACAAGAACCCTCAGCTCCCCAGCACGCCACCTACCCATCTCCACACAACACCACACCGAACTCCATCCCCGGCTCCCCTCTCCTAGCAAAGCTTCACCAAAGTCAAAATCCGGCGTGGACTTCCTACTCATCGATCTGCGCCAGACAGACTTCGAGGCCGGCACGTTCCTCCATTCGTCAATCAGATGCGCAAACTGACCGCTCCACTCCCAGGGCGATACCATCATCGGATCTCTGGATCTACTGGCCCAGACGCTGCATCACAGTCTCCACGCCGTCCGGAACCTCTGCGTAGCCGCACGCATCAGGACGGTGATATTCTATTGCAGTAAGAGACCTTGCACGAATCTAGACCACTGCGCTTGACAAACACAGCAATATACTTACCAGATTCATCACGGGAACGTGGCAGGCAAGCTGCGGGCTGGTTTGATGACTTGATCCTCGATGAAGGCATCACGGATATGCGGAGCCTTATTATATCCTGCCCGAAGGTATTGAGGGATGGGCCAAGGCAGGGCCAAGGCAGGGCCAGACAGAGTATGTGAAGCTGATGGATGGGTACGAGAGCGGGAAAGATGATCCTAAAAATGAGTATAAAGCGTCACTGCGATTCAACAATATTTACTCTAGATCTGTATCTGGACGTGCTCAAACGTTACGTTGCCCAGGAGCATCAACCATAGAGCAATCCCATCAGCCCCATACCTATTCAAAACTAACCAGACGGCGGAATCGGCTCCCTCCCACCCTCCACAATCCTCAACCCCGCATAACAAAGCCTCGTCCTATTCCCCGACTCCCACCACCACTCCCGCGTAAAAACAGGCGCGAACCTTCTCTCCACCGCATCTCTATGACTCGCCACGAACTCCGCGATGAAATCCAACGGAACCGGCTCCCTCGTACAGCCAAATTCGATCCTCAAATTGCCCGCTTCCAGCACGACCTGGTTGGACGGAGGACTGTTGGCCCATATGGTCAAGATGTTGTCCAGGATATTGGTGAAGAGGCGGGACAGGGCGATGCAGGCGATGCAGCTGAGGGCAGCGAGAGGGACGACGAGGATGAGGCCTGGTTCGGTGAAGGCGTGATACCAGCCGAGGAAGGGAAGGGCGAAAATTTGGCGGGGTGTTTGTGAGTGGAGGGTGGTGGCGGGCGGCAAGCTTGAAGAGTTGTTTGGAAATGAAGTCATCATGACGAGAAGGAGAAGATTTGCCACGCTATCGATATGGCTATTGGTGCCTCATTCCTTCATCCTCGCCACGAACGTTTCTCAATCCTTGGTGATTTTTGCTAGGACTGTTCGGGTTTCTGCTCCGAAATGCGGTATTTGACACGTCGAATTTGGCGCTTTGATGTCGTATGCGCCTGGGGAGAGCGCGCAAATACCGCGCGGTCGCCAACTACACATGTAACCACCAACAAGCCCCTGCATATCTTCAGCATGTCGGGTAAGGAAGATCATCACGCAAGCTGGGTAAGCTGATGAATAAATGTTCTAGCGCAAAAAATTAGGGATTTGATATGCTTCATTTTAGTAATGAGTAGGTATACAAACTGGTCCTCTTTTGCACCTCACCCCCTTCTTGCGCCTGCGCCATCTTCGACCTCTCCCTCAATAGAGCTGCAACACTATAGTGTTCAGCTCCTATAAATGTGCGAATCGTTCAGAAATAAACAGCGGCAATTGGTTGAACGCCTTGTCCATCCGATGCGGTCGCTTGAGATCGTTCAAGTCGGCATGGCGGATCACGCTATGCGGGACATTGGAACATCAGTGGCTGAGATGGATGCCATGATGTTTGCGTTTTGGGTGTTGTGAGAGCAGAATCTGGTAGGTCCTTAGCTACAGAGTAGCAGTAAGGTGAAAAAGATGGTTTGCTGAATCCTCAAGACGAAAAGGCAAGAGTTTGGAACACGTTGACGATACAGTCGTATGAACAGCGTTCTTCACAACTCTTGATTCATGATGTTAGTGATATTGTAGAAGGCTTTATGTGGAGAAGGGAGGCATTATATATTACGGATGTTTTGGCCCTACTTGGCACACATGACTTCCAGCGACTGGAAAACAGGTTGGCATAGGACTGATATTGAGCGGTAAAACAGAACAATTGTGAAACAAGCAGACTTCATTAAGCACTCGCCTAGACTAGCCTCGACTGCACGGCTGTCCAAATGGAACCATGTTTGCGTACGCCATTGTAAGACTGTCCTATGAGATAATGAGCTTTGGGAGAACGAGCGGTAAATAAAGACAGCGGGCACTTGGAGCTATGTGAGACTGTCGACGAACACATTCAGAACTGCCACGTCAATAGCCGCTGAGTACAGTCAGTGCACTGAGGAGCTCTTTGGCCGCTTCTGGGCCATGGTCAAGACTCAACGGCAGGAGGCAGTCTTGCCAGAAAAGTCCATGGCGATGGTCGTCCACCCTCAGGCTGCACAAGCAAGTTCAACACTCTGTCCGTTCATGGCAACAGCATTTCTCGCATCTCAGGAGGGTCCTACTTAAAACAGCTCCACACGAAACAGCTGCACACAGAACGTCCAGATGGCTGTGGGAAAGTCTCCCGCGTGCTCTTCTAGTATTTCCACCACCAGGACGTTCTTCGACTCCTACGGTACCGGACATCGACCAAGAGACACAACGCCATGAAAAAGGTAGCAGAGCCAAGCACCTGAACCATCAACTCTCCACATCTGCCATCCACGTCTCTACGAAGATCGAGACCCCCATCAGCTGCCAAAAGCTCGCTCCATCACCACTCACAATACAACACATTCTTCTGCATCGACCCTCTCAACCAAACCTCTTCATTCCACAAAGCGAGAGCAGGCCAAAACAACCCACCCCTCGACTCCCCCCCCCCCCCCCCCCCCCCCCAAAAAAAAAAAAACCCCCCCCCCCCCCCCCCCCCTTTTTAAAAAAAAAACCCCCCCCCCCCCCCCCCCCCCCCCCCCCCCCCCCCCCCCCACCCCCCCCCCCCCCCCCCCCCCCCCCAAAAAGCCCCCCAAAACAGTCATCCAACCTCCACGCGCACAAGCCGAGCCGAGCCGATCCCCCAACCCCCACGGCCGCTCCGACCCCGACTCCCTCCATCGCCGCCCGAGCCAAACCCAACCCAACAGCAACCCTCACCGAAAGCAGCCCGACGAAGCTCCGGTACGCCATCCCCGTCTCATCAAACACGCACACCCGGCGCCGTACGTACGTACGTCCCTCCATCGCGTCCCCGATCCCAGATGCGAAGTAGAACAACGCGCCGGGACTGCGGGGGCATCCCGATCCCAATGACGTTCAGCCCTCTCTCGGCCCCAAAGAGGCTCTGAGCGAAACGAAGCCCAACTTGGCCGACCCGCCGAGCAAGCCTAGCCTTCCAACCCGCAATCAAAACAGTTTGGATCCACCCCTCGGACCAACCTCGCGAGAAATCTAGCATTGATTGCCCGGCCAGCGCCTGCTCTGTCGTCTCCTGCCCACATGCGCGAAGTGGGTTGGGAAGCGGTTCCGTTGCGTTACTGGTTGTAGGGAGGATATGGGTGGGTGGGGGTTGGGAAGGGGAGGGAACGATTTGGGTTTGGACGTGGAAGGGAAGGAAAGGAAAGGGTGTGTAGGAGTAGGGGTTCTTGAAAGAAGGATAGGGATTAAGAGTTGAGGTGGGTGAGAGAGGGGTGTATTGATTGGGGGGGTACTAAAGGTCATAGTTAGTGACTGTTCATCCCTCAGCAGTGAGGATGAAATTCTCTTCAGGCAGCAGCAGAAGAGGATGTCGCGCTAGTCAGAAGAGTTACAGAATTAGATTAGATTTATTACAAATTATCGATTAGAATATTAACATCCGCATAGTGAAGCTTTTCCGACCCCCAGAACCAGGTCAAATGTCATAAGTCGTTACCCCACCTTCCCTTCCCCTTCCCCTTCCACCCTCCACATGCCCAATCACGACTGACTCCCCGTAGCCGGCACGCCCAGCGCACTCACGCTCGTCGCATTATACTCATAAAGGTTCAAAAGCCCACTCCCGCCACAAAACTCCTTCCGGTTGCCCGAGCACGGCACGTCGCAACCGCTCGAGCTCGCCGCGGTCGCCGAGCCCGGCAGAGTGGACGCGCAGTAGCATTCCTGGGCGGACTCGACGCCCGCGACCCGCATGGTCGGGGTCGAAGCCTGGCAGAACTGGACGCACGACTCGACCGTCATGCCCGAGGCGTTCGAGTACGAGGGCCCGCCGAGCAGGCGCCCGTTCGGCGCCTCGTTGTAGCAGCCCTGGGAGACGTAGTAGCCGACCTGCGGAACCGTGGACGGAGGCTGGTAGCTCGTCAGGTTGTACAGACTGAGTAGGTTGGCGCTGCCGCAGATCTCGGACGCGTTGCCCGCGCACGGTTCCGAGCAGCCCGACTTGCCCACCGCGGCGTAGTTTTGGAGACCGGAGCCGCAGTAGCATTCCTGGCCGTATTCGAGGCCGGCGAGGGGGAAGTTGTTGCCGTTGGTGCTGCAGTAGGATTGGCAGGACTCGACGGTCATGCCGGACGTGTTGGTGTAGGAGGCGCCGGAGAGGGCACGCGGCGTTACGGAGTTGTTGGCGCAGCCGAGGTAGGACCAGCCTGAGGAGGAGAGCTCGCCGACGGTGGGGGTGTGAATTGAAGGGACGGTGGATGAGAGGGTGGAAGAGATCGTGGAGGAAAGGTGTGCGGACTTTATCGATGAGATTGTCGATGCGCTGGTTGAGGGTTTTGTGGTAGAGGATAGCGATGTTGAGGACAGTTTGCTGGATGATGGTCTAATGGATGAGATGGTGGTTGAAAGTTTTGTGGTAGAGGATAGCAATGTTGAGGACAGTTTGCTGGATGATGGTCTAATGGATGAGGTGGTGGATGAGATGGTGGTTGAGAGTTTTGTGGTAGAGGACAGCGATGTTGAGGAGATTCGACCAGATGATGATGTAGTGGAATACATACTGGTCGAGGACATTTTGGTAGACGAGAGCGTCGTCGACGAGGGTTTGCTCGAGGGTAGTACGGAGGAGGATAGTGTGGTGGAATAGAGCGTGGCGGACGATGATAATTTGGAAGACAATATTGTGGAGGATGACATGATCGACGACGCTGCACCGACAGATGAGACGGAGGTCGAGGCTGGCTTGCTGGACAAAGTTGAGCCAGGGGACGAGATCGCGGATGGAGTTGCGGAAGATACGCTGCCCAAGCCTATAGTGGAACCTAGTACGGACGATGAAAGCGAAAATTTTGATGACGAGGCTACCGAGACCGAAGATGCAAAAGTTGATGCGCTGTAGGGCGAGATCACGCTGGAGGATACGGTCATAAGACTTGGACTGGTCGATGATAGTTTAGTAGATGCTGGTAGCGTGGCAGAAGAGACAGCACTGGCGGAGGAAGCGTAGGTGGAGGCAACGGAAGATATTGTCGATGCAATGGAAGATGCCGATGATGGGATGAGACGGTTCTGGATCTCATACATATCCAGTCGCCAGCCACCTCCACAGTATTCCAGGCTGTTGCCCGAACATAGTACATTGCAGTCAGTCTGGGGCTGTATACCGCTGCCGACATTGGGAGCTGTCCCGCAGTAGCTAGATACCCATCAGCAACTTTTTTCAAATTATACCAAGTGCGGATCTGCTTACCACTCCTGTCCATACTCGACACCCATCCACGCATAACCAGTGCACTGAGCGGCACACAGCTCAACTGTCAAACCGGAAGTATTGAAATATGCAAATCCGCTGAGAGTGCGAGTGTTGCTGTCTTGTTGGGTGTCGTTCCAGCAACCTTGATAGACGTAGTTGCCGACCGTTTGGACGTGGACCGGACCAGTGGATGTGGGCGCGATAGATGATGCTGTGGAGATGACAGAGGCTGAGGAAGCAGCAGAGATTACAGAGGCGGTAATGCTGGATGATGTTCCGATATTCGACGAGGCAATGACCGACGACGATGCAATGGAGCTTGACGGAAGAGCTGACGAGGTCACAGCAACGTAAGTGTAGACGTTGATCCGATTCGAGCCACCACAGTACTCTGTCGCGTTTCCGCTGCAGACCATATTGCAACCAGTAACGTCCGGGGTGCTTCCGGCAACGAGAGCTGATCCTCCGTTGATGGCGCTACCACAGTAGCATTCAGCTCCGTATTCGACACCAAAATACGTGAAAGCACTACACTCGGAAGCACATTGTTCGACATCATTCTGACTTGCGACCCCGGGGTTGGTGAGTCCAGATAAAGCTCTCGAGTTGACGCTATCGCTGTAGCATCCTAAGTACGAGAACCCCACCCCCTTTTGGACTGTGATCGGTCCAGTTGGTGTGGGCGCTGGTGTAGAAGAACTGGTACTCGATGCGGACGCAATGCCAGAAACCGTTGCTGAATTGGTGACAGTGGGAACAGCCGAGGAAGCAGAGGCGAGCGAGGCATTGTACTGATACGTATTTAGTCGATTCGGACCGCCGCAGTATTCACTAGTATTGCCGTCGCAAGTCATATCGCACAGATTTTGGGTTGGATCGCTTCCACCAGTAGCTAGAGCCGAACCTCCTAGCAAGGCATCCCCGCAGTAACACTCAGCGCTGTATTCGACGCCGAAATATGTGAACTGAGCGCAAGCAGCGGCGCAGAGCTCGATGGTCAGCGTTGCACCAGCAACAGGATTCGTAAGCCCTGTGAGCGCGCGATTGGCCGTGCTATCCGTATAGCAGCCAATGTAGCTGAACCCACCAGCGGATGGCACAACCGAAGGCGCGCCAGGCGTTGGTGTCGGGCTCGTCCCCGGCGTCGATGTTGTCGAGGTGGGTAAGGGCAAGCTACCATCGAGCTGGTACATGTCAAGCCTATCCGGACCGCCGCAGTACTCCGAGACGTTGCCACCGCACAGCATGGAACAACCGTTGACAAGGATATCCGAGCTAGGCTGGTTGACTGAGCCAGCGTTGATCGTGTTACCGCAGTAGCACTCGTTGGAGTACTCTATTGAGAGCTCGGAGTCAGCGTTCCTTCTTCGAGGCAGATGTTCAAGTAGTGGCTCAGACAGCTTCGGGGCAGTCAAAAGACTCCTCTACTTCAGTCTTGCCTTTCGAATCGTGAGATGAACGGGAAAAGCTTGCTCTGGAATGTACATACCGACGCCGAAGTAAGTATACCCCTGACAAGAAGCCTCACAGCTCTCGACCGTGTTGCCAATGCCAGCTGGAATTGCCGGCGCCAAGCCAGAAAGTGCGCGACCAACTGTAGCCTCTGAGTAGCAACCAATGTAGTTGTAGTTTCCAGTCTGATTGACAGTGATTGGTGCGCCGGCAGGCTGAGTGTTGTTTCCTGGGGTATAGCGGGTGGAGTCGTAGTAGACGCTCAGATAACCGCCGAATCCGCCGCAGACTTGAGTCGCATCGCCGGCGCAGGAGAATGTGCAGTAGGTTTCGGCGGCTTGATAGAGGCTGGGTGGTGGTGTATCACCTAACCAGCATTCGGTTTGATACTCAGTACCGGCGAAGATGTAGTTGCCTGCTTGAGCTTCCGTTTGGCAAAGACCATTGGTGTTCGAGCTATTATCATATGGCTGGGTGGGAAGCAATCGCCCCGCCGGGGCATCATCGATAAAACAGCCTAGGTACGAGTAGATAGGCAAGCCTGAGGAATTTGTCGGTCCCACTTTTCTGCTCACCACCGTACCCTGTATCTGAACAGTGTGGACGCCAAAGTTCAAATCATCTAATGGTTGCCATGTTAGAGACGGAGATGTAGGAAATAGCACAAGAATTCACATACCGGTGTTCAAAGTCCAGCTATTTGTATAAACTTGATCTGGATTGTTTGGAGTCTCAGCGTTAGTGGCAAATATGACAGTCCCGTAGGCACACTGATCGACAGGAATTTGCTGTGACTCATGCAGATCAGTAGGATCATCCAGACGAAAGACGCCGTTAGGAGGCTTGCTCTTGGTGACTTCGAGCACCGAGCCACCGACGTCGCAAATGCGGATTTGCAATGATGGTGATGTTCCCGGAACAACCTCGCCAAAATCCATAAGAAGGGTGCTCTGCGGCAACCAACCGCCTTCGCCGTTACTGATGGAGAAATTTGCGATTGGTGCGGTAGAGGCAGAGCCTTCCAAAATGATGTTCTGGGATCCTCCATCGCTCCATACCTCGAAGAAAGATCCGTAGTTACCAGTTCCATTGACAGGAGTGAAGGTCGAGTCGACTGATATCTGGGCCCCCCCTGCAATGACAGTGCCCACCACAGGCAGATCGCTCGCAGTGAAGCCGTATCCAAGATCTTGCGTAGCGCCACCAAACGTAGTGTTGGTCCAGTCTATGTCATCGTCGTCGAGGTCATCGGTAGTGTACGCATAGCCAAGGATAGTGAGAGGGCTCAACCCCGCATTGGTGATGGTAAAGGAAAGGGAATTGGTGGGAACATCTTCTGGATAATTCAGAAGGACAAGCCCACTGTAGTCGACCGTGATTGGAGCTATGACGAGAAAAGCGTCCTGCGACACCTCTGTTCCCGTCAAGCTGATGGGAAATGTTGTCGAGTATCCTCCCACCCCGTTGAGAGTGGTAAGTGTTAATGCAGTACTTTTGACACCAGGTGAGACATTGCCATATGAGGCATTTGCTGCATCTCCATTGTGTATTGTGCTAAGGTTCCAGATGACGGGAAAGCTGAATGTGGTACCTGCTGCGACTGGCCCTTGGGGCAAATTCGCAGCATTGACCTGGAAATTTGCATCGCCAGTGGTGATACTGGTTATCTCGTTGATGGCAATGACAGCTTTGCAAGTGACCGTTTCGGTCTGACTACTCCCAAGAGCAACGCTGCCAAAGTCGACAGGCGAAGTACAATTCAGAGGTAGATTGACGGGAGAGCCCAGACAATAGACGGTTCCCTCAGCGTCTGTGACATACAGGCGGGTGTCTCCAAAAGACGGGCGCTGAAATTTGTTCAATCCGTTGACTTGCGGCAGATTGATCGTCTTCATGGTGCCATCCGGGTTCGGCACGGCATACCAAGCCCGCAAACCGGCGTCAGGATCACACATCCATAGAATGGCTGTGCCAGCTTTGCCTTGATAGGTGGTGATAGTTGGGATACCGACGCCGACACGACCAGCAGAGATCTCGGTAGTCGCACCGACTTGAGTGAACAGTGGAACACCGTTACCGTCGAAGCCAAGCTTGTACACGTATGTAGGATAGTTGATGGGTGTCGAGTAGATGTAGCCACCTTCAAGCGGATAGGATCCTGAGCCACCGAAGACAGCTTTGTTCGTCGTGATCGTCTGAATGATCCCATCGGTTCCGCCTGGGCCATTTCTGTACCCACCCAAGTTGTTGGCATTGAGGATGTAAATCTTACCGTTTTTACCAGCTGTCACGGCCATCTTGGAAACACCGGTGCCATAGAAAACCGTGGGATCGAGAAGTGCGATACCACCCGAGCCAAAGTCCTGATCACCACCGTCCAAATTCTGATAGTCGTAAGGCTGAAAGTAATCTGTCAAAAGCAGCTTACCGCCATCACCAATGTTGAGGTTGACCTACAAGTCTATTAGCACCCTGGACTCACAGGTCCAGACCAGTACACATACACAAGCTTCACCCAGCGTTTGGCAGCCGCTGCTTCCGGAGGCAGGCGCATCAACATTTTGGTGACCGTCACCATTCCCCGATACCCAGAAGAGACGTTCACCGTCAGTCGATAGAGCCATTCCGCTCATCCAGATGCCACCTTGGCCTCCGCCAAGGTTCTCATTCCAGACATTGGTCTGAGGAACTAGAGGTCCAGCTTCGGTAACGAAATTGGTCACAACCTCTTGCAGATTGATATCGATGCCAACGATTTGACCTGTATAGTTGAACAAGTCACAGTGACCGCCGAAACCACCGTAGACAACGGAGCCAATCATAGTCAAGGCTGGTCGCTGCAGGACGGTCCCTCCAATGAAATATTTCAACGGATCATTATCGGCCGGAACGCCGTCGACCAAGAGAGGTGGAAAAGTGTCCGCTAATGTGTTGATATTCACGCCGTGAAAGTAATAGACTCCGTTGTAAGCGCCAGTGTCTCCCGCGTATCTGTAATTCGGGATATAAGTCTTGGAGAAAAAGTACACAATGTCGCTAGTAGTATCTATGATGGGGGTTCCAATGATGCCGATATAATTGGGGATATCTGTGCAAGCAATGTCGGTCTGCAAGAATGGCGTATGGACCTGTCGAGAGTTGAGAAGATCGCCCGTCTTGGCATCTAGGGTCCGAATCCAATTCTGCGAAGATGCCAAGAAAACAAGCTGGTTTCCACCAGCATTTGGTGTATATACCAGAGGCTTTGCGTAGAACTACGATTGTTATATTAGCAGCAGGATCCATATGGGGCTTAATGCCTCTAATGGCGAGGTTCGACGCCTTGCTCACCTGTTCTTGGTAGTTAAAGGGTACTTTCCAGAGCAAACCAAACTCGGCGCTATCAACGACTGCTGGATCCATGTTGTGGTTTGGCAGATAGCCTGACTGCGCTGGATCTGCATCTGATGGGCTGTCCGTTGATGCAAAGCCAGAGACCTGTGGAAGCAAAGCCACCGCCGAAGTGACGACCCATCGTGGGAGTATCATGACGGATGTGACTCGATGTGCGTAGCTTGTCTGTCATGAACGAACAGGACACAAGAGCAGAAACGAATGTGCGACTCCTTGAATGTAGAAGTAGACGGGGAGAGAGGAGGTTCTTACGTCTGTCGTCCCCTGCGTGAAGTCTCGGCGTACCTGGATGTACCTGCCTACGAGCGGCACCATACAGGATTTTTCCCAATCCGGGGAGATCATTTGAAGGGTCCATGGTCGAGGCTGCCGGCGTTACTCTCTTTGGACGAGCCACGATGGAGCTCGGGAGTGAGAAGATTTGCATCTTGACAGTTTTCGGACACGCCACATGGCCGGTGAAAGCTGTTGAATAAGCTGGATCTCGGCCAGAACACCCTCAGACGGTAAAGTCATGGTGGCTATGAGAATGGTCACGGTGGCCAAGCGAACGGGCCGCCTGATAGATTGCTTCTTCATCACAGATCAGTATCTTAGTCCTTCATAGTATGGCTACCCATATTAGCAATGTCACCTCGTGATGATTTTTATGCGTTTGCACGTTTATAGCGCTAAGGATTGTTAGCTCGGTGGCATCTCCGCACTCCGAAGATTTCCAGCAAGGTTGAGAGGTTCGCATAAGCGAGAGGGGTGTTGAAATTCCTTGATAGGCCAGTTGGCCAAAGGATCAGCTACATGAAAAGTCAGATCTGGATCATTCCTCGGTTCTCACCTGCATATTGCCTGCATGCGCTGGGGGTCAATCCTCCGTTCGACTAGTAGTCTGTACAGGGTTTCGTAGTGGGGGTTGCATTTCTTCTCTGGAGGCTACGAGTAAGCGTGGGTAATTGCGGGTGAGGGTAATCAATTTTGCTTTTCGTATTGCTATTCTTGACCTACCTACCTAAAGTATCTGATAGGCGTGTCGGTGCTAATCAAGCTCAGCTAATAGCTAACGTAGGTAGACACCCTCAAGAACAATCCATGGGGGGTGCCTGGATAACCGTTAGATAAGACTCAACTTCCCTTATTACACACGGGGTGGATATTTTAAGGAAGGAGGAGTAGGACGGAATGAAGTCCGCCAAAGCAACTGCCAAGACATGGCGTGACGGATCCTTTTCTTTATTTTTAGGCTCCTTATCCGAGCAACTTTGAACTCTAAAATTGCCCCGCCACACCAGACATGCTTATTTATTCTTCTTTCCCTCATGATTACAACATAGGTGAAAGCCGATTGGCTAGGACATTGAAGATTTAGCCAAGCCAAGCCAAACCATACAGATTTTATTTTAATCCCCGCAAAAATGAAATTGTGCAATTTTGAGATGCAACTTCACGATGAACAGGGGTTTGCCGAATCTCTAAAGTATCATATCATACCTTATCACATCTTGCGCAGAACCGGAATGCTGGGCTCGCGTGCTCTGAACAGTCTGTCGTGCCGAAATCTAGAACTTCCATGTGTCCTATCCTGCCCGGGTTCCGGGGTTACAGAGATTGCTAGTGGATTTTTGGCCGAAAGAAGAAGCGCTAAGCACGCCAAGCCAATAATGCGGGAGATTTCTTGAAATTTTTAGCCAATGAAATAAGAGCTTACCGTGTGAGCTGGTGGCATAATCCTGCAGGACCCCGGACCCAGGAAGGAAATATACTTTCGCTTCACCAACTGACCGCTCTTCATATGCAAGCAATCATCATTTGTGTAACTTTCATCACAACAAGGTTTAGACTCGGCTCAGCTCGGAGGTCGGCAGAGTACGATGATGATACAATTGATCCGACATTCTATCCGACATTTGATACGGCTTATACTCGTAAGGAGTCAAAGAATGATTCATCGGTTATGGATGATCCTACGGGCTCCTTCGGCTCTGCATTCATACGCTGGGTTGTACGTGTGCAAACAATAACCCTAGGTGAAGGATGTCTTTTCTATGGCTTGTCAGTCATAGGACCCAGGAAGCAGATGTTGGTGCGGGTAATGCACATGTGCAGACTGCAGACTGCATTCATCCTTCGCCGGTCCCGTCTTATGCTTCATGCAAGCCATGGAACCCCCCACCTATCGTGTCTCGAGCAAGCCAGCCTCGTCTTCTACTTAGCCATGCGCTCGTGAGAGCTACTCGACATGCTCAAATGAGGTTAGTGTCTTTCTTACGCCAACGAAGCCGATACTGAAGGCTCTTCTGCTACGCGGGGTTGAGGGTGTATAGACCTTACATGTGGCTGTATAATCCCTACAGAGAAAATGGACTGAAAACGGTAGGGAGGTCGGACTACAGGCTGCCGTAGTAATGCACCAATTGAATATCCTTCTTACAGTTCGCAGACTGCAGGAACCCTCTCGGTCTTCTGCAGAAATCACGAAATAGTACTTCGATACGAGGACTCGATGCAAGCCCATTCCGGTTTTTTGCAGGTCGTGGAGCCAAGTGAGCCTTTTGAACTAAGGAGATGCACCATCACCGTAGCAAGATCCAGTACTTGATTCTGTTCTGAGCCTAGGCAAGTGACCCATGTTCCCTTTTGAGGATGGGGACACTCACACAACGCTTCCCCATGCGCGGCGCCTATCTTGTCCGTTCGGCAAATCTAGATGTCAGCTTCGTCCTAAGGGTGTGGGCTGGCAGGGATAAGACCTGAGCCGACAAAGGCTGTAGGTACGCGCTGTTATATGCTTACCTGCATAATACTCGACGACCGGAATAAACGGCCGCTGTCCTTCAATGCAAGCCCTTGTGACTGCTTGCAGACTGTGAAGCTGACATGGCTGCCACACTTCCGATTCGGGGTGTAGCGGCCATCTAAAGGACGCAACCTTGTCTCCGCGTCACTTCGGAAAATGAGGGAAGTGGCCTTTGCACTTATTGATTCACCCATATAGGATAACGCTATGATCCACGCTCCTTTGGCGGACCATCTATCGTCGTTGAATAGGCTCCTTGAAATCAGGGTTAGGGTTATTCTTATGCACTCCTACTTTCGACAATAGGAGTCCAATCGTTGGAGACTCAAGCAGGAGGAAGATATTGTAGGGTGACATATCAAACTCGTTAGATGCCACGTTCACGAACCAAGCAAAATGACAGTGCTTGCTGAAGAGTCTCTTTGCCCTCTTTCCACTTTCTCTTCCTCCTTTCTCGACGGGGTCTCCTCGTCCCTCTGATTCTCACATCCATCCGCTTGCGCAAAATGACTCATCTCCCTAAGCTTCCTTCCATACTTGATAAACACCACAGGGGTAACGCAAGCCATCGTTGCAACAGCTGCGAAGATGCTTGTTGCAACGTTACCACCCAAGCTAGTGTACATGCTGTAAGTAAATAGCGGAAATACGGCAGCCATGAGCGTGCGCGACAGGCTGAGAGCAGAGCAAGCAGAAGCTGCGTAGGGTCCATACGAGTCGGTAAGGTAGCCAAAAAGTATGTAAGAAAGGTCGTTGGTTGCGTAGCCGACTAGCACCAGCCCGATCATGGACACTGTCCAGTGGACGTGCGGTACAAGAGGTGGTATGGTCCAAGCGAAGAGCCAAAGGCCTACAGCGAGAGCGGGGCAGGCTGTGACTAAGGAGCTGACTTTGGCTTCGGGGCGGAGGGAACTTTTTTTGCGACAGCGGGTGAAAACTCTCTGGTCGTAAATACGAGGAAGGACGTTTACCAGTAGGCCAATTAGAATGGGAACGAAGGATAGCGATGATGTCGTGGACTCAGCGAAGCCCAATTCTGTGTATACGACATTAAGACCTTCGGTGAGCCCATAGATGAGGCTAAAGGATATGGCCATCAGGGCGGCGCAGCTGAAAACGATAGGCTCGGTGGCCAGGAACTTCAGAGGACGAAAGAGGCAATCTTGTGCGAAGGATCGTAGTGTGATATTTTGCCTCTCAGCGATGCGGAGAGCATTGTTGCCAGCCCTCTTCTGTACTGCCTTGACTTTCAACTCTAAGAGGTACCTGGTACGACTCTCGTGGAGAAACAATGAGGCGATGATGCCGATCCCAGAGACGATGGTGGAAATGTAGAAGACCCAACGCCATCCAGCGTATGTGGTCACGTAAGCGGAGTAGATGGGTCCCAATACCAGGCCCATGTTCCCTGCCAAGGTGTAGATATAGACTATCCAAATCCGTGTTTCGCTTTCGTACAGATCTTCGAAGCTGCCGAAGGCGACGGTGGCAGGAATGGCAGAGGCAAAGCCTGTGAAGAACCGTCCGAAGCATACCGCAATGACTGAAGGTACAGCTGCTATAATGGCGCTGAAGATACAATAGACTGTGATCGCGACGATGTAGAGCGTGCGTCGGCCAAACGTTTCGGAGATGGGTGAACAGAAGATGCTTCCTATCGCTTGTCCGATAAGGTATCTGCAGCTTGTCAACTGGTCACGCCACCTAGAAAGCGCAAACAGCATCTCTCACAGCGATGTGAACACAAAATAGCCCACTGTTCTGCTGATGCAATAATCCTTGCGGCCTGAATTGGATGTAGCAGTCTATGAGGGTAGTCCTCAGCGACGCTTTCATCGATAATGAAGGAAGAAAGCATACCCCAGATGAACTTATCGCTGTCATCCAAAACTCGAAGAAGCAAACCAGGCCGACATTGTATGCCTTCTTCGTAATGATCCAATTTCGCGGGTGCTGCTTTTCATCGAGCTTCCATTCGACGAAGCCATCATTTCCAAGCTGCAGGCCATGATTATTCAGCTCGTTGTGAGGGTCTTTCCTCTTCTCATACGATGAGGAATCCACCATCACAATGGCTCTGGAATAGCACGTCAATACAAGCACGCAACTGGGGCCAACTGGAAGCAGTCGCTGATCATTTTTTCGCAGTAGTCATGGTTGTGCGAGGAGGAATGGTATGCGGCGGATGATAGGCAGTTTTGAGTCCATGGCGTCAACTGGTAATGTGACAGCAGCCACCAAAGCCCCCGTGAGGAGAAACCTTATCGTGATAGCCTGTCAAAACGCCAGCCGAAAGCCTACTGGCCGAGGGGATGTAGTTTGTCTGTGCGGAGACGATGGATCAACTTGCTTTACCCAATGCTACGGCCTCACTCCAGACTGCGCTCTCGGAATGCCACGCCCTCCAAGGAGGCAGTGCGTGAAGTGCCATCATGACGAATACTAAGCTCGAGGAGACCATGGACGTCATCTGGATTGCCTTAAGACTGTGCAAAGATGTAGAAAGCCAAGGTGATATTCGGTTCAAGATATGTGACTATCGGAGAAAGGTAAGGTAATGAATGCCAATTTGACGGAAGGCCTAGTTACAACTAGTGTGTACTCAAGGCGGGGCCACCTAAGCCTAATTGAGTAAGGTCGCCTAAGACCACCACCTCACTGCTTGACAACGTGGACAATTTTAAACATACTTTCTGTTACAAAATTATAGAAGAGTATCAGCAGAAGATATGTTATACCAGAGTGTTCTTCATAATGGTCTTGGTTGAGAAGTTATTGAGGATGGGGAAAAAAGATGCGCTTTTCCCAGATAGGTTAAGTGGCCAGATATTAGAAACCGGCTTGAGTACCGTACTTTAAAACACTACTCGTAGCGGCTTACGCCAGAGATCTTCCCGCCCCAAATCTTGCCAGATGTCCAGCTTCCATTGACTTCAATCGTCGATTCTATAATGTATCGGCTTGAAGCTTCCACCGTTTGACTGCAATGCCGAACAAGCCGTCAACGCCATCGTCAAGTCCATCTCAGCCTCGAATGTAATGTGATCACCCGCTTTACTCTTCGGCGGATCAACGCACAGCTGGCCCGTGGTTCCATCAATCGCCACATTCATGAAGCAATTGAAGGCGACAGGTATACGATCGGATAAGATGCCGTATGGCATCAGCGCAGTGGATAGGTTGCCAAAGCAGCCATGGTGCGGCTCTTTCTCGCCGTAGATGATGCGGAAGGTGTCCTTGCTACATGGCGTGAGGAGGAAATCGTGTCGGCCGACAGAATCTTCGATGATGCGCAACATCACGTTGCTACGGTTCGAGTACAGCGGATCGCCTTTGGTGAGGTAGATGCGGCTAGCGTAGTCGAGAGTACGTCCTGAGGAAATGACCTCGTCAAGGTCGTGGGTGTTGAACGCGAGCAAATCGGAGACCTGTTCACCCCGTGGATCGATGACTGTCAGCCGTTGACCTTTCTTCATGGTGAAGGCTCTGCCTGATCGAGATGGTATCATGACGGTTTGGCCTGGAGCTAATTGCTCAGATCGGTCGCTGGTGGCCATTCCTCCAGAAAACGCGTTTGGATTCGGCTCGGGGAGAAGGAATGTTCAGCAGCTTTGGTAGAGTACGAGGCATCAAAGATGAGTCTTCACCGTAAGAATACAAAGCACCGATTCCAATCTCAATGTCAATCTGATTGATGATAGCAAACACCAAGCACTTCAGATTCCGCTGAATTGCAATGGAAAGAACAAGGTAGCATGGTATCGTGTGGGTAGAAGAAGGATGTAAACTCGCTATAACGCTTATAGTATAGAGATAAGTATAGAGATAGATATAAATATACGCTTTAATTCTTATCTATTAAGCGAGGGATATAAGCGAGCGATAAGATAAGTATTAATTATACTATTATATTCTACTATAAAGATATTTAACTCGAAGAGACTAGATATAAGTTCTTTATTATTTCCGATTAGTATTTATTAGCTTTACGAATTCTTTATTATTTTCGATTAGTATTTATTAGCTTTCGCGCGGCCGTTAATTTAATTAGCGAAGCTATACGTCTAATAAATAGAAACTATACGTTTATTAAGTAGAGACTATACGCGTAATAGCTATCTATATATATATAACTATAAATTTAAAGTTATTACGCTTTTTAATTAAATTAATTAAGTTATTAATATATATAAAAGAATAAGATAGAGCTAAATTAGAAAATCTTGAATTTATATATATAGTTAATTATAAATTCAAGGTTATTACGTCTTTTGATTAGATCGACTAACTCGCTAAGTTAAAAATGAAATTTAATATAAGCGCTAAATAATTCCCTATTAAAAAATTTATATTTTCTATCTTTTTATTATATAATACTACTACTATAGATTGTAAATGTCTTAGAAAGAAGCCTAAACGTAAAAATAAAGTCTACGATATACGTAAGAAGATTAAAGTTTAAGACGTAGTTTAATATAAGACTACGAAATATATAAGTTCTAAGAAAACGATTAATAATATAATAGTTAAGCTTAGATATAATAATTAGACTTATTATTAAGCGATTTTTATATAGCTTTATTTTCTAAAAGCTTTTAATAGCTATTTAAACTATTCTCTTTAAATTATAATATAAAATTATATATAATAATCTCGAGATTTAATAGTTAATTTTCCCCCACATTGAATTTCATTTTTAACTTGGCGAGGCTGAGTTATCGCGGGTAAATAAATTAGCGTTCGTAATTATTAAAATCTCTTACTCTAATTTAAACCCTTTAATAACTTTACTATTTTCTATTAAAATTTTAAGATTTTTTTTAAATTATAGAACGAAATATAAGCTTTTAGATAAAAAAAGAATTTCTAAATTTAGTCTTATAATTATTAAAGCGCAAGGAATTCAAATATCGCTTATCAAAGTTCGCTCGACAGCCGGATAGTCTAATTAGGTATATGTTATTTAATTTTAAAATAACTTTATTATTTTCTATTAAAATATTGAGATTTTTTTTTTAAATTATAGAACGAAATGTAAGCTTTTAGATAAAAAAGAACTATTAAATTTAGTCTTATAGATATTTAAAGGTAACGAATTTAAATATCGTCTATTAAAAGTTCGCTTATTAAATTTACTCGATAGCTCTAATTAAAAAAAATGATTATGAATTTAATTTATAGGCCTTTACTCGTTATAAATAAATAAATAGTATTTATAATTATTAAAATCTCTTATTCTATTTTAATTATTTAATAACTTTATTATTTTCTATTAAAATTTTAAGATTTTTTTTAAATTATAAAGTATATTTTACGCTTTTAAATACTTTAAAAATCTTAAAATTTAATCTTATAATTATTAAAAGATAAGATACTTAAATATTACTTATTAAAGATCGCTTATTAAAGATCGCTTATTAAAGATTATTTATTAAATTTACTCGATAAGTCTAATTAAAAAAATAATTATAAATTTAATTTATATATCTTTACTCGTATACTAATAATAGAATAAGATAGGGCTAAGCTAAAAAACCTTAAATTTATATATATAATTAATTATAAATTCGAGGTTATTACGTCTTTTAGCTAGACTATCTAAGTTAACTTACTAGCTCTCTTAAGCTCTCTTATTAAAAATATATATATATATTATTAATATATAAAATAACTTTTTTATTTTCTATTAAAATCTTAAGATTTCTTTTTAAATTATAAAGCGAAATATAGACTTTTAAAAAAAAAAAGATTTTTTAAATATAGTCTTATAGTTATTAAAGCGTAAGAAATTTAAATATCGTTTATTAGAGTTCGCTTAATAGCTAAATAGCCTTAATTAAAAAATAGATATATATTATTTAATTTTAGAATAACTTTATTATTTTCTATTTTAATTTTAAGATTTTTTTTTTTAAATTATAGAAAGAAAAATAGATCTTTAGATAAAAAAATAATTTTAAAATATAGTCTTCTAATTATTAAAGCGTAAGGAATTTATTATCGCTTATTAGAGTTCGCTTATTAAAGATCGCTTATCTATTTACTTAATAGCTCTTATTTAAGAAAAATTATAAATTTAATTTATAGATATATACTCGTAATATAATATCTAAAATAAAAATAAAAATATTATTTCTATTACTATTCGCGTAATATTAAAAAAAGCTTTAGTTTTAAAAGAAAGTAATATCTTGAAAAAATAAGAATATGAAAGTCTTTTATAAGAAGTATATACTTTTAAAAAAAGTATAAACTTCGATCTAAAAAAAGTATATACTTCTACTTTCATCTATCTCTATAGAATTAGATCTTAGATATTCTTATTAATCGAAATAATATAATATATTTTATAGAATATTTTATATTAAGTAATATTATATTATATTTAAATATAATAGAGATAAAATTAAATATTATATCTTACTTTTAATAAATTCGAGATCTTAGTAATATATATTACGAAATAATATAATTATAATATTATATTATAAAATAATATATCTATAAGATATCTCGATTAAGATTTCTATATTTAGAAGTATAAATAGTTATTCTAATTATTATTCTAATTAACGACTAATTATATCTATTCTTATTTATATTTATTTAATAAATTCGATATAATAACTACTATTACTATTCTCTATTTTAATATTAAAATTATATATTATTTTAGTCTATTAATTTAGATCTCTATTTACTAAGTCTATTATATTTATAAAGTTATTAAATTTTATAATAATTAATACTTAGTAAAAATCGTTAATCTTTATATTTTTTATAAATATAAATTTATATTATAGCGTCTAGTTAATTATTAATACGCGTATAAAATAATAGCTAACATTAATAAAATATAATTTTTTATAGTTTATAGAGTTCTCTACTAGATCTATAGCTTTCTTATTATTATATTATATTATAAATAACTTATTTAGCTATTATTTTAATTCTAATAATATATAATATATTTATATTATATAAGTAAAGACTTATAAATTAAATTTATAATTATTATTTTAATTAGAGTTATTAAGTAAATAGATAAGCGAATTTTAATAAGCGAA